CCCATCTCTCTGTCACTGTAACCTCCATGTGGGAACCCAGCACATCCCTCTGGCTGCCCTGGCTGTCTCGAGCCCCTGGCAGGGGGCTCGGACACCTTGGCACGAAGTCAAAAACACCTGTTACTTCGATTTTAGCCCATGGAAAAAACTGCCAACTTTGCATGGTGAATTACAAGCCACAAGGGTTTGGGTAGTGTGGTAGTTGAATTAGCGCAGAGGGAAAAAGTAGAATTTTGGGGCTTTTTAGAATGTGGTTAGGGGATTACAAAATGGAGGGATTTGGGCGTGTCCTGACCTTCTTCTCCTTCTTCTTGCCCTCCATGTCTTGGTGTGATGGTGACACTTTTCTATCAGTTTAAGGCAGAGACACACTGTCTAACATAAATGATAGATATTGGCACGTTATTGTAAAAATGGCACATGTAGTTTTTAGTATAAAATGTAACCACCACCCTAGAGGGCAGACAGAATGCCATGGCCAACTTGCTAGACAGAGCTCAGCAGGTCAGAGAAAGAATGTTATAGACAAGAGAAAACAAACAGCCTTGAGAAGCTGACCCTGCGCATTCCAGACTTCTTCTTTGGCTGCTCGGGCTGGGAGGAAAAGGACTTTTATAATCTTGGGGTCACCTTGACACCCGGACCCTGAGACTTTGGCATCCCTCAGGGCCTCGTGGCTACCAGGGATCATGGTGGCATGCTGTGGCATCACCAAACCTAGGAGACATTATGGCACTGCTGGGCCTCACAGAACTATGTCACCGCAACGGGCCCCAGCCGGGTAAGGATTAGCATTGACTCCACAATTCACAGAAGGCTGATCAATCTCTTTATGATAGATATATCATTATTAAGAAACCCATTGCTTTTATAGACAGCTACAATACAGCTGGACCTAATTGGTCCTCCAATCATAACACCATCACCATTGGTTAATTAGGAAATGACCCTTTGGTAAACAAATCTCCACAACACATTCCACATGTGCACATCGACTGGTGCAGCAGGCTAAGATAAGAATTGTTTCTCGTTCTTTTCTCTGATCTTCTCACAGCCTTTCCCAGAAAGGCCTGGGAAAGTTGTGTGCCACTCTCTGTGGCCAGAGAGCTGCTGCCACAGAACCAGGGATCCATTGGGATGCTGTGGGGCGTCACAGAAGAAAGCAGCCCGGCAACTGTGGGGTCTCACGGAATGCAGAGGCACCTGGACACAGCAGGGCCTTCTGGAACCTCTCAGTCTTCTGTGGTCAAGATGACCCCAAGATCGTAAAAAGTCTTTTCCTCCCAGCCCCAAGCAACCAAAGACGAAGTCCAGATGCGCTGGTTTTGCTTCTCAAGGCTGTTTATTTTCCCTTATCTATAACATTCTTTCTCTGACCTGCTGAGCTCTGTCTAGCAAGTCGGATCGTGGCATTCTGTCTGCCCTCTAGGGGGGTGTTCACATTTCATACTGTAAACTATGTGTACTTTATTTACGATTAATTCCCCATGCCTATCACCTATGTTGGACAGTGTGTCTCTAAACCAATAAAAAGTGTCATCATCACAGTGAAAGATGTAGGACAAGAAGAAGGAGACGAAGGACAAGACACACCCAAATTCTGCAATCTTGCCTCCTGAAACCCATTCTAAAAGACCCCAAAATGCTACTTTTTCACCCTGTGTTACATTAACTCAAACCCTTGTGACCGGTAAATCTTGACACAAAGCTGGCAGGTTTTCTCATGGGCTAAAATCAAAGCCACGGGTGTTTTTGACTTCCTGCCAAGGTCTCTGAGCCCCTGCCAGGGTCTCGAGACAGCCAGGAAAGCCAGAGGGATGTCCTGGGCTCCCACAGGAACCGAGGAGCCACTGTGAGACTCAGGGCCTTGTGGGGCCCGGGGATGATTGTGACACTGCAAGGCCTCATGGAACCAAGGATCCACTGTGACACTGTGAGGGCTCGTGGAACGAAAGGGACCCTGGGACACTGTGTGACCCTGTGACACCAAAGGGACCCTGGGACACCAAAGGGACCCTGGGACACTGTGTGACCCTGTGACACCAAAGGGACCCTGGGACACTGTGTGACCTTGTGGCACAGCCCCTGGGACACCAAAGGGACCCTGGGACACCAAAGGGACCCTGGGACACTGTGTGACCTTGTGGCACAGCCCCTGGGACACCAAAGGGACCCTGGGACACCAAAGGGACCCTGGGACACTGTGTGACCTTGTGGCACAGCCCCTGGGACACCAAAGGGACCCTGTGACACCAAAGGGACCCTGGGACACTGTGTGACCCTGTGACACCAAACAGACCCTGGGACACCAAAGGGACCCTGGGACACTGTGTGACCTTGTGGCACAGCCCCTGGGACACCAAAGGGACCCTGGGACACTGTGTGACTCTGTGACACCAAACGAACCCTGGAACACCAAAGGGACCCTGGGACACTGTGTGACCCTGTGGCACAGAGGACCCTGGGACACCAAAGGGCCTCATGGAACCAAGCGCACTCAGAGACACTGTGGGGCCTTCTGGTTCTCAGTCTCTTCTGACACTTGTGTCCCTCTACAAAGACACAAAACTGGGCAGCCTGAGCCTGTTGATCCAGGATATTCCCATTTCCATGGGAGGACAGCCCTGACATCTGTGGTGCTGTGTGTTCCCTCCGCTCTCCGAGGAAACTGAATCCCACAAGAGACACCGACCCCTCTGGGAGCTGGCACCACAGGGCCTCCTGTGGGGTGGGAGCAGAGACATCTTTTGCTCCATCATGTACCTCAGAGCCCGTCCAACCAGGAGTGTTTCCAAGGATGGGGCATCCACCAGGTGTCTGAGAAACCTGTGCCAGTGTTTCACCACCCTCAGCATCAAAAATGTCTTCCTTGTCTCCTCTCTGAACTTATCCTCTTCTGCTTTAAAACCATGTCCCCTTCTCCAATTGTGACAGGCCCTACTGAAACATTTCTCCTCATGTTTCCTTGAAGTCCTGCAAGGTCACAGTGGGGTCTCCCCACGGCCTTTTCTGCTCTAGGCTGAACCAGCCCATCTCTGTCGCAGAGATGCTCCATGAAATGCAGTGAAAAATCAAGACCCCCACAATTCCAATGAAGATTTGTTGGGACAGTACATTTATTACAGTGCTGGGCGCACGTGGGGATCGTTCCCCTTCAGAGGACATGTGTTCCCCTGAGGATTCCCCAGACTTTTTAAATTGCCCCTTACTAATTTACATATGCATAGAATTTCACAGTAGGTTCATGAATATTCATTCTGCTGGTTTCGCATTACAACTTGCAATTTGCAATGAGTCCTTGTACAGAGAACTCTCTAATCCCTTTGTCCATCTCTTGCAGACTTAGCTTTGGTTTTCTCTTTCTTTCAGAGTTGAAGGAGCCCCTCTTATGTCTCCAGTTTGGAGATTCGCAGTCTTTCTCCTTGGCTGGGACAGTTTTACAAGCACAGCAGAGTTAGCAGACTAAACAGCATATTTTACCCATGTTAGCAAGCTACTGCGCGGCACATTTCACCTAAATACAAATGGATTTCTACTCCGTTAAATTTTTCCACTGTTTCACCCAACCCTTTGGAGCATCTCAGCCTCCTCCGCAAGTGCTCCATCCAGTCTGTGCCTTTCCTGTGCTGAGGAGCTGTTGTAAGTTGTTTATGCAAAAGAACCGGCCGGTTGAAGAGGGGAAATACCTCACTGCTGAAATGAAATGCTGCTGAGATGGAGGGACAGTTTCTGCACAGCTCACCCACAGCCCCGGGGTGGGCAGGGACGTTCCCATGGGACCCCCAGAGCTGGGGGCCAATACAACTGCACGAGGAGCCTCCGTGTGTGTCCAGACCATTCTCCTCAGGCTGTTGGCATGCGGTCAGTGGCTGTCCAATGCCATCCCCTGACTGGCACTGCTCTCCAGGAAGCCTGGAGCTCTCCTTGGCCCAAGTTCCCCAATCCGGACCCTGCAGAGATTCCTCAATTCCCCTCCAAGGTGACCTCAGCACAGCAATGACCTCACAGCTCTTGTCCCTCTGCTCAAGAATCCCCCATGGGGACACTCTGCTCTCTCCTCCATGGGCACCACGCTGCAAAACTCCCGAGGAAAATCTTCCCCCGTGGGCCCTGCGGCTCCTTGGCTGAGGTCCAGAGCAAACAGCCAAGGCAGTGGCCTGAAATGTTTTCCCAGCTGGCCCACACTTCTCTGCCGGATGCACATTGTCCCTGGGGAAAGAGAGGTGCAGAACCCTTCACTAATGGCCTGGAATGTCCAACAGCAATCACAGCCATGGACAGCTCTCGGGAACCACTGCACCATGGATTTTCCATCCTGGAAGGCCAAGATTGAGAGTGTCCTGCTGGTGCCTCAGGGCCTGGCTGAACAGGGCTTGTCAGAGATGCTGGCAGGGCACCAACAGCCCTGCTCCTCACAGGGCACCTCTGTTACCCCAGTCAGCTCCGAGGGGCTGCCTGGGGACAGGTGCCCACGTCCCCATGGCCCCTGGCACGGGCCCATCCTGCTCAGGGCCAGCGCTGGCCTTGGCTCAGGGCCAGGGCCATGGCCCAGGTGCTCTGGGAGGGCTCAGGGGCTGCAGGTGTGACAGGGCAGGGCAGGGCATATTCCCCTCTGGACAGTGCTCTGGGGATGGAGCTGGGACGGGTTCGGCACCTGCAGGGAAAGGGATATGGGGCTGTGCGGATGTGGGAATTGTCAGCGCTGAGCCATTGCCCAGGCCTCAGCCTTGGCTGCAGGTGATCAGCATGGCCCAGGGCTCCCGGTGTCCCCGGGACTGGAGATGCCGATCCCCCAGCTGCTCACATGTCCCTGGTTCCCCTTGTCCCCCACATGTTGGGTTTGGGGCCGGGCTCCGCTCTGGGCTGTCCCACAGGGAAAGCTCTGGGAGGGAAGGGGCAGCAGGAGATGGGGGATCGGGCTCTGGGGGCTGTGGGAGGATGGATTGTGTTGCACTGGGGGCTGTCCCCACAGGGTCCCCAGGTGCCTTTGGCTCCCTGCCTGCCCCCCTGGCCCCCCAGGTGCCTGGGCCCCTCCAGGGGCAGCTGCCCCGGGCAGGAAGCTGGAGGGATGCCGGGCAAGGGGGCTGGACCCGTGCCACAGGTGGGGTGGGGTGGACTCTGGGCCAGGGCTGGGCTTGTGGCCAGGGCTGGGGGCTGTGCCAAGCCGGGCTTTGGCCTGGGGGCTGGCAGGGAGGGTGCAGGGAGGAGTCCCGGCAGGGATAAAGGTGCTCCTCACCTGCTGCAGCCTCACCCAGCGCTGCCCAGAGCGAGAGGAAGATGAAGGTGGCTGTGCTCAGCGTGGCCCTGCTCTTCTCCATCCTGCTGTGCTCCCCGGCTCAGGCCCAGGTGAGGCACCCGCCAAACGCTGTCCCCACACCCTGCCCTTTCTGGCCTCCCACCCCACCCTTTTGCTCCCTCCTCTGTGGCCCATTCAGGGTCCCCAGCCGCCCTCCCACTCACCATTCCCAAGGCCTTTCCCTCCATGTCCCCCCTCAATCCTTTGCCTTTCTTCCTGGCCTCGGCAGAGGGGTCCCCATGGACAATTCCCTGACTCACCCCCACTCCCACAGCATCTCCCAGTCCCGTGGGTTTTGTCCCCTCCCGCCTCATCCTTCTGTCCCCACCAAGCCCCTGCCCTGCACTCCTGTGGCCCTGCACCGCAATTCCTTTCTCCTGCCCTGGGCCTTACACCCTGCTCCTCTCACACCCCAGCCCTGACCCCTGGGCCCTCAGCTGAGCCCTGATCAGTGTCTTTGGGTCTCCCCCACCTCAAAAAGATCTCCTGGGAGTCCCTGAATTCCCATCCCTCTGCCCCCGCCCTGCTCCCTGCACTTGTGTCCCCCCACAACCCGACAAGGTCCAGTCCAGTCCCAGCCCTTGTTCTCCTTTCCAGACACCCCCGGAAGAAACCCAAGATGATCTCCTGGAGGTGAGTGGGGTGCTGGCATTGGAGGGCACCCCCTCAGGGGACTGTGGGGCAGTTCAGCCCCACCATCCCTTGCTGGCACCTGGGACACCCCAGTGACCAGCGAGGTCTCCTGGTCTCTCTGCAGGTGGATTTAGACGATGTGGACGTGGATGCGGGTTTGCCTCTGGTGGGTACCACGAGTTCTGCCGGAGTCAGACCCTCCCCTTGCATGGCCACCAGAGCCCAGGCCATCCCAGTTTGTCCCAGCCCAGCCCAGTGCACCCCTGGTGTTTCCCCAGAGACCAGCCTGCCCCACAGCTCCTCCCCAGGGATCCCTTTGCCCAGGCCCCCTTTGCATTCCCATCCCTGTCAGCCCAGGACCCCCTGGATGAGCCAGGACGCAGCCCCTGCCCCAGCTGTGCCCCTTGGCCAGGAGCCCAGTGCTTCTGGGCAGGAGCAGAGCAGCTCCTGCACCCCATTGCTGCTGCAGCCCCTTCCCCAAGGCCCCCCTGCTCTCCCCTGCCTCCCAGCCCGGCCCAGTGCCCCCAGTGTGTCTCTAACGCTGCCCTTGTCCCCATTATTTAGGAAAAGCTGGAGGAACTTCTGCGGATGAAGCGCGCCGTGGCTGCCTCTCTGAAGGTCTAGGTGAGCCGTGCCTGCAGGGACAGGGCTGGGGACAAAGCCCATCCATGGCCCAGCAGGAAACACCAGTGGTCACCTTCTGGGCTTTGTCTTTCAGGGTCAGAAGGAGCAGTGTCCTTTTCCTCTCCAGTGGCATGAGGAGATGATCATGCCTGGAGGAACCCCTGACCCTTTGAGCCCGGGCCATTTCCCCTGAATAATCAAGCATCAATAATCAATAAACCCTTTCAGCATAGCTTTGCTCTGTGTCTGTGTGTGTCCCCTATCCAGTGGTCCAGGGAAGTCAGGCCAGGTCTGGGCTCTGCTGCCTTGGCACAGCCCGTGCTCTCCCCCAGACAAATTGTGTGTTGGGAGTTGTGCAGGCTCCAGGGGGAGTGGGTTGAGTAGGTGGGTGGGCGTGCAGGTGCTGAGAAAGGCTGCAGTTCACCATGAGTGTGGTAGGAATGGCCTGGGTTGAAAAGGAAAAAATTAAATTCAAAACAAGGTTTCCTTTAAAACATTTTTCCCTTAAAATTCTTTATTCACTCCAAAGAATTTAATGGCTCAAAAAAAATCTTTATATGTCAAAAGCATGTTGAAATTATTTACTGGTCTTGCAATCTGGCTCCCTGGCGGGATGGGGCTGCTGGGTCTGTCTGCAGGGCTCTGCAGGGCTGTGGGGTCTCCTCGGTGAGGGGCCCTACACGGTCACCTGTAGTGCCTGGCCACGGTGGGGTGGAGCCACCGCGGCGTCCTGGAAAAGGGCGAGTGGTTCTCCCTGGCTCTGGGCTCACTCTTGGCCGCCGGATCCATCGGCTCCAGCAGGACTTGGGTGAATTTCGGGCTGGGCCGGGTGGATCAGTTGTCCCTGGCCGTCCTGGGAGCTCACCAGGGGCTCGTTCGCGTTCGCTGACTCCAGCTCCAACACTGAAGGAGCCGCTGGTGCCGGCAGCGCCCCGGGGAAGCCTCACAGCAGAGCTGGCACATGGAGAGATGGGGATCGTGGAATGACCAAATCCTTGAATGGGTTGGCTTGGAAGGGCCCCTAAGGATTACCTGGTTTCAACCTGAGCAACCTCCCAGCACACCAGGTTGCTCTGGAGCCTGTCCAGCCTGGCCTTGGATGTTCCTGGGGATGGGGCATGCACAGCCTCTCTGCACTGCTCCCTGTGTCAGGGATGACCACCCTCACCGTAAAGAACTTCTTCCCATCATCAAATCTCTTCCAACTCTTGCAGTTTGATCCCATTCCCCCTTGTCCTGTCACTGCAGTTCCTGACAAAGAGTCCTCTCCCACTTCCCGGTATTTCAGGCTCTTCCTGCAGGGTCACACGTGGGGCTGAACCTGCAGACAGGAGAGAGAGAAGCCAAGCTCCCAGACAGAGAAAATGGGGAAAGTGACACAAGGGAAGAGAGAAGAAGGAAAAGATAGATATGCCAGGCTTTGGGTTGGGTGGGCTGTGGGATTCATGCCTGTAATCAGAGGCCAGTGTCCCTGGTACAGGCAATTACTGCCTCTTGCTGAGACTCGCTTGCTGGCTTAGGAGCTCAGCAGCGCTGACAGCAGAGCCCTGTCCTTTGTGATCCCTTTGGGGTGGCAGTGGAGGTGCCCTGAGTGCACATTCAGTGGCACCTTCATGGCTTCTCATGCCTGGACACTGAAAGGAAATTGGCACCGTGGCTTCTTTGAATGCCATTTAGTCCTTTGAAATATCTGCAGCAAGTGGTGTGAAGCTGATTTCTGAGCCTCTCCCTTGGGATCAGCTGTGAGGGCTGAGGGCTGGCCTGAGCCCGGTGCTGTGTCCAGCTGGGAGCAGCCCCACAGCCTCAGCTGCACACCGGGCACTGCCAGAGGCCCTGGAGGTCACCCCTGCCCTGCAGCCACCTCTGTAAAGGGGCTTTAAACGTCAGCGAGTGTTGCAGCATTTTTGAGAGAAAGAGGACATGAGTTATGAGATTTGAGCTACCCCAGTCTAGGCCTCAGATTTGCGCCTTGTGGGCCTTCAAGCCTCTGACGCAGTTAGAAATTCAGAGCTTGTGGCGCAGATAGAAATAGTCTTAAGGTGTGATGGGGACCACTGGGTTGTCTGGGTATGAATTAGTATAGGTTTTATAGTGTAAGGTGTAGGCCGTTTTAATGAAAAGGTAAACAATGTTAGCCTACCAATCAGAGTGTCTTTGTTTTTGTAAACTATGTAGAAGCTTATATAAACTACCACCTTATCTTGAATAAAGGGAGAACGCTTGATTAACCACATTGGTTCAGACCTGCGTTTGTCTTGTCCAGCTTTCCATTTTTCTGAGATTCCCTGGCTTTTTGGCCTGATGCCGGCTCTCGGGCCAGGAGTCCCCGTGGCTGCAGCAGCAAGGGTGGCTGAAGGGTTCCTGCCTGCCTGGGGGCATTGCTGCAGGGGCCACTGCTGTCAGAGCCCCCTCTCTGCTGGGGACAGCTCTGCTCCTGGGGGCCCTGCTCTGCCCCTGCCCAGGAACCCCAGCAGTGCCCAGTGCCAGGAGTGGTGGCAGTGGGACCCCCTGTGCACAGGGACCCAGCCCCGGGGTGGCCGTGCCAGCACCCCCAGGGACCTCCAGCCCCGGGAACCCAGAACAAATGGAAACCACAACTGTGCCAACGCTGCCTGTGCCCAAGGGAATTACAAAGAGAAGTGAGATTTTAAAAATTAACAGTATTTCTTTCCCAAAGATCGGCAAAACCTTGGATTTACAAACATGTTTTATTATAACAATCCTTATAACAACAACAATCTTCAAAACATATTTACATGGGAGCCTATAGTCTAACAAACTTCAAAACATATTTAACGAAGAGCTCTAGTCTTCAGAACATATTTACAGAGGGGTCGCATCTGTGGCCATCATCTCCATGAGTCCTGGAGGAAAGGCAGCAGCAGTGCTGGACTCTGGTGCCAGCACTGGGCCCAGCTGGGCTGGGAGCTGGAAACCAGGGGCCGGCAGGGCTGGCAGGGCTGGCACAGCTCCAGGCAAGCACAGGGCAGGCCAGGGGTGCTGCTTGTGCCAGCACAATCCAGGGCCCCCTGTGGGCACCGTGTCCCCGAGCGGGGCCATCCAGCCCAGCCCCAGCCTGGCGTCAGGGGACACACTCTGCCTGTGGGCAGGGCGTGGGGAGCATCTGCTGGTATTGCTCCGGGGGCTCCATCTTCATCCAAGGACCATGGGCTCCTCCTCATCCTTCTCATCAATTTCCATGTCTTCGATGTAGTCCTCCACATCGACTTCCATGTCCTCAATGTTGTCCTTCTCATCGACTTCCATGTCCTCGATGTGGTCCTCCACATCGACTTCCATTGCCTCAATGTTGTCCTCCACATCAATTTCCATGGCCTCGATGTGGTCCTCCACATCGACTTCCATGTCCTCATCTGTCTCTTCCAGGTCCACCTCCATCATTTCTTCCCCATCCAGCCCCATGTCCACTTCCATCTCCTCCACGGTGTCTCTGGCAGTCTGCAAGAGGCAGCACAATCTCACGCTGGGGTTCCTGTCCCACACCATCCATTCCCACATGGCTGCAGCCTGCCCAAGCAGGGTGCCCCCTCCCTGGCCTGGCAGTGTACCTGCACTGGGGCAGCAGTGCACATCCTGCTGGGATTGGCTTCAGAGCAGGCGGCAGGAAAAGCCCAGGCAGCAGCAACAGCTCAGCACTGACGGGCAGAGCGAAGTGCTAGTGAGCGCTGACCGCTGGCAGCAGGTGAAGTGTCTGCTGTGCTGCTTTCCAGGTCCTGCACCTTCCACCTGGAGCACTCTGGGGGCCGTGATGTCACAGAAGTTTCAGGGCCACGCCACATGGAGAGATGGGATTCGTGGAATGACCAAATCCTTGAATGGGTTGGCTTGGAAGGGCCCCTAAGGATTATCTGGTTTCAACCTGAGCAACCTCCCAGCACACCAGGTTGCTCTGGAGCCTGTCCAGCCTGGCCTTGGATGTTCCTGGGGATGGGGCATGCACAGCCTCTCTGCACTGCTCCCTGTGTCAGGGATGACCACCCTCACAGTAAAGAACTTCTTCCAATCATCAAATCTCTTCCAACTCTTGCAGTTTGATCCCATTCCCCCTTGTCCTGTCACTGGATTTCCTGATAAAGCATCCTCTCACAATTCACTGTAGCCCCCTCACTCACTGGAAAGGTGCTCTGAGGTCTCCTGGGACTCTGTGTACAATGGTCATAAGCTGAAATCTCGAGCTTGAAGCTTGCAGGCTATCAGCAATGATTTGGTGGCACAGGGGTGCTTCCTCTATTGCAACATGAAACTCTGAGATATCAATTCTTGAGCTGTTTTCATTGTGGTAGGACTTCAGGTTTTGGGTCAGCAGAGCCTCTGATTGTCAGAGTGAGGCTTCGGCAAGCTGCACAGAGAATCCTGCACTCATCCCAATCTTTTCTTGAGCATGGTGGTTTTTTATTCCTTTCCTCCTGCTGTTAGCCATTGCTAGAATGTCACGGTGAAAATAGAAGAGAGGTAGTTGTTCACTGGTAACATGTTCTGGTTTGTTTTGTTTCTTCTGCAAGGCTGGGCAAGGTTGATGTTGATGCAAATTCATTCACATCTGAGGAGCTCAAAAAGGCCTTGGCTAAAATGAAGGAACGTGAGAAGGCAGAAAGGAAGGTGAGTTTCCTGTTTCTAAAGCAATGCACAGTGCAGGGATGTGAACACACCCTGTTACACACTGCAGAAATACAATGGTTAAAATGATTGCTTGGAAAGCACTGCACAAACTAATCTTGTGGTGCATATGGACTGAAAATACCTTTGCTCACCTGTGAGTGATATTGTTCCCTGGCTTTTCTGTATGACTCTAAGATTCTGTGAATGGTTTGAGTTGCACAGGACCTTAAAGCTGATCCAGTGCCACCCCCTGCCATGGGCAGGGACACCTTTCACTATCCCAGGTTCTCCAAGCCCCATTCAAGCTGGCCTTGAACACTTCCAGGGATCCAGAGGCAGCCATAGCTGCCCTGAACAAGGTAATTTATCTGCAGCTCAACTCACAGAAATGTCTGCAGACCCCAAAGGAAACTGGTTTGCATCTGACAGTATTTACAGATGGTATTTCCCTTTCACTTCTCTCCTTGCTTTCTGTTTCCAACCTTGTGCTCGGGATAGCAACACCCAAGTGGCCATAGTGAAGCAGGGGCTGAGTTCCATTACACAAGCTCCAAGTTGTCCATTTAGTTACAAACAACCCACAAACCCAAGTAAATAGGTGGGATGATGTGG